GCTCCCAGGGCTCGATCCAGGCGACAATCCCCTGACCTGGCCTCCAGGTCTCTGATAACACGGGCTCTGTGGGGTGGGCGTTGCACCCGAGCAGAACCCTTCTTCCTTTTTCTTCACGGTGTAAGGCCCCTGCACCACCATCTGGAGCCTGCCGTCTGCCACCGCGGCAGTTTCTGCCCACGCTATTCGGCGGTGCCCACTGAGGCCGACATCTAATGCCACCTCGGCCACTGTCTGCTCGCAGCGCTGGCACCCTTGTCACAAGCCCCACCCCCCGGGCACCCCCCCACCAAGCTCTCTGCCACTGCGCATGGGTCTGTTTCACTACTCCACACCCAAGAAGGCCGGCGGTCCGTGGGGCCCCGTGGAGTGGATGTTTAAGCAAATGCCAACGCGGTGAGCGCACAGGGAGCTTCTTTTCCTACTGAAGCCACGCCTTCTTCCTGAAGTCCAAGTTCTCTTGACTGAGCTCTGCTGTTGAAGCATGCACGAGTCTGGTTCAGATGCCCACGTGTGTGTGTGCACAGTTCTTCCTGTAGCTCAAACCTTCCCCCCACCCCACCCCCGCCCCCCAGTTGGTTTTTCTTCCCGGCAGAAAGACACTTTTAACGAGGCTTTGCCCCTTGGATGAATTGTTCTCAACCCTTCGTTACAAAACCATCCAGACCAAAGAGCAAACCCACAGCCGTGAGTCGGTGCCGACTCACAGCCACCCTACAGGGCAGTGTAGAATCGCCCGGAGGTGCCCAGAGTGCATTCGAACCTCCAACCTTTAGCTTAGTGGTCGAGCATCTTAACCGTTCCCTCCCTCCCCCATGGACAGCAAGGGTATTCCCAGGAAAACCAAACAAGAAGCCTGCTGGAAAGTCCGTTCCGAGCCCTGGTGCCCCTGCGTGTGTCAGCGTGGACCTGGCTCTGGGGGAGGGGCGTGTGCACTGGCTGGCTTTTCAGAAGTAGACCACCAGGACTTTCTTCCAAGGCACTTCCTGGGTGGACCCATGAGCCTCTGAGCTTTGGGTTGGTGGCCCAGTGCTTAAGGAGCTGCACCACCAGGCTGGGTCAGCAGGGCCCGTAAAGCAGCCTTCTTCTCCTCCCTCAGGAATCTGGTACAACATCCTCCGAGGCATCGGGAAGCTGGCGGTCATCATCAATGTAAGTGAGGGAAGGGACACCCGGCCGGCCGGGCCAACAGGAGGGCGGTCCAGGGTTCCTGCCCATCATTCCGATGAGGAACCTGAGGCACAGGGGGCCAGCCACCTGCGTCCACTCCGGGCCCCTGCACCGCACCATGCTGCCCCAAGACCACCCCACTGACGGGTCTGTGTCAATACCTTCCCTGCCGCCTCCCCAGCTTCTCTAAGTGGCTGGTCAGCGAGGCCAGGGTCCCGTTTACAGATGACAGTGGGGGCTCAGAGGGGTCACGGGGGTCTGAGACCGCACAGCCTGTGAGAGATTCCCAAGACTTCCCACTCCGGAGGGCACTTCCCACGCCGCCTGGTCATCTCCTCGGCTTCTTGTGGGCACGCTCTGGGTAGAGGCTGCGGAACTGACTTCAGCCCTAGTGGCAGTGGGCCAGCCCTTCCTTATGCCCCCTCCAACTTCCCCCACTGCCCACCCCTTACTCCACCCCCTGGGTGGTGGCCAGCCCTCCCCCTCCCACACTTAATCCACTGTCTCCCCAAGGTGGAGACAGCCCCCCTCCCCCCCATAATGGACAGCCCTCCTCGGGATGACGGCTCTCCCTTCCCCCTCCCGTATTCACCCAGCTGACCCCCCAGGTGGTGGACATCCCTTCTCCCTCCCTCCAAGTAGTGGGCCATCTTCCCCCTCGGTGGTGGCCAGCCACCCCATCCCCCGGTGGTGGCCAGCCCCCCCCACACACTCACCCTGCCGCCCCCCACCACCACCACCAGGCCTTTGTGATCTCCTTCACGTCCGACTTCATCCCGCGCCTGGTGTACCTGTACATGTACAGCAAGGACGGAACCATGCATGGTTTCATCAACCACACACTGTCCTCCTTCGATGTCAGCGACTTCCAGAACGGCACAGCTCCCAACGACCCCCTGGACCTGGGCTACGAGGTGCAGATCTGCAGGTACCCTCTGGACCCCTCCCCTCAAACGTGTGACCCCGGTTTCCCACAGAGCCAAGAGACTTACTCAGGGGTGGCCAGGTCTGGCGCCACCTTCCCCCGGGCAGGCTTGTCTTCCACAGGTGCCCTGCTGTGCTGCGAGGACACCCCACGGGCTCCCACGCACCCTCCACCCTGCTCAGCCCCCAGGGGTCCACACAAGGCGTGCCAGGGCTGGGGGTCTGGCTCCCACTGGCTGGGCCGCTCATGTGCCAGGGGAGGGGTTGTGATCGGAAGGCCCAGGGAGGACACTGAGGTGCTGGAGCCTGCAGGAGAGGACACCGATGCTGGGCAGACAAACGTAGAGAGCTCGGCGCCCGCCCCATCAGTCACTCCCTCGGGGCTGCTGCACCTGGCTGGTGCTCAGGGCGGCAGAGAGTGCCCCAGGAGGATGGAGAACAGGTCGTCCACTGCACCCTGCCCTGGTGCCAGGCCCGCAGGGTGAAAGGAAGAAGTAGCACCGAGGGAGGCCGGGAGGCCTGCATGCTTCCGTCTGCTAACACCTTCCCCCAAACAGGGCTTGCTCTTGCTACCCTCATCAAGAGTCGTCCTCTCGGAAGCCCACAGGGGCAGTTCTACCCTGTCCCATGATATCGCTGTGAGTCGACTCGGGGGCAGTGAGTTTGGTTAGGGGTGTGTGTGTGTAGGGATAAGCCCAGGTTTTCTGGAGGGACACAGGGTGGCAGGTCCCAGGCTCAGATTAAGGAAGCGGCTGCCCCCACCGACACCCCAGGGGAGAGGCCCGTGGTGGCAGGTCAGAGCAGCTGGGTGTTGCCGGGTGGCTGTGGCTGTCTGTGGCCCTTGTTGGCGGCGTGGGGGTTCCCACGAGGAAGCAGCCTTGATCCTGGTGCTGGGAGTGTTGTTCCTTCAGCTCATGGGGACCAGGAGCTGGGAGGAGCAGAGCACGGGGCCCCTCGGGCTTTACCCAGCCGCTCCCTTCCACCACTGGCGCTGGCCGCATCAGGTACAGAGGCAGGTGCCGACCTCTCCCAGGAGAGTGGGCGTGGGAGAAGCTGTGCCCAGCCCTGCCCTGCCCAGCCCAGCCTGCCTGCCTGGGGCTGCGAGCTGACAGTGCTGCTGGCTACTGCCAGAGCTGAAGCAGCCGCACCCAGGGAAGGGCAGCAGCCTGCCCCCTGCAGGTGCCCGCAGGCTAGGCGAGGGGAGGGGCACACACAGAGATCAGCTCAGATAGGGTTGGCTCATAGCCTCTCTGGACGCAGCTATCAGTGGGCTTCGAGGGGTGCATAGGGGTTGGCCAGCTGACCCCCAGGGCATGTTCCGGCATCTCGGAGCAGCCGGCCTGGAGTGCAGGAGGTAGTAGGGAGGAGCAGGCATACGGGGCTGCCTGTTCCCCTCAGAGAGCAGGTTGGGCAACCTCTTATCACTCAGCTGCTGGCACCCATGCCCCTGGCAGCCTCCAGAAACACGCCCCGAGGAGCGGGGCCTTGTCTGCCGGCTTCCCACTGAATTGCCGCTCGAGAAGGGGGCTTGCAGGCAGCTGTGGCTCAAGGGGAGAAACCCCCTCCTATGCCAGGACCCGGTTTGATTCCCGGTCCCTGCACCTCATGCGCTGCAGGGGTGCTGTGATGACGCCGCGGATCAGAGTTTGGCAGAGCTTCCAGCTTGCAGGGGACCTGGCAATGTGCTTCCTAAAGTGAGCCAGGGAAATGGGGGGGGGGCCCCACAGTGTGAGGGTGCGGGGCCAGCCAGGGTGTGTTCACTGGAGCAGCAGCAGCTCACGGCGGCAGAGCGTGCCTGCCATTGTGTAGAGAGACAACCAGCACCGGATGAGGGCCTGCAGGACCAAGTGGGCTTCCCGAGACTGCTCCTCGGACCGTTCCTGATGCCCCAGAGCTACTGGTGGGCTCAAACCAGGGCTCCTTAGACATTCGGTCAGAGAGTGTCCCGACTGGGACCCACAGAGGTTGCTCAGGGTCACACAGCAAGCCATAGCAGGTATGAGCTGACCACCAGGGCTCAGAGTCCGGTGGCTCCCAGCACTCCTGCGGTTCTCAGTGGCACCAGGGGACTCACCTGCAGACCGGCCCCAAAACCCCACCCCACAATGATGCCATGGGCTTGTCATTGGCCGCTGCGGCCTCCTTAAAACCAAAGCCTGGTTTTTTTTGGGGGGGGAACATCATCCCCCAGAATCAGGGAGCCCTGGGAGACCTTAGGTGGAGGTGAGATCTCAGGCTCTCACCCTCACACTGCCCCTCCCCAGCTGTTTGGGGGAGGCACTGGGCATCTCAGGATATCTAAAAGGTAGGCAGAGAGCAAGGGACCACTGAGAGGATAGGCCGGTGCCACACTGTGGACTCAGGAGCTGAGAGAGAAAGAGAGGGGTGGGTCCATGGGTTCGAATTCACCTAGAGGTGCCTTGGACGAAAGGTCCGGCACACTGCTGAAAACCAGGGCAGTGACAACCCACTGAGGCGTGCCAGCCTGGCCCTCACTGGGAGTCAGAGGTGAGCACGCCACACAGCCCAGAAGAACGGCTGCATTCCACGGAACCGGATGTCCGCCGGCCACGTCTGAATGGAGAACTCAGGGCCTCGGGTCTCAGGTCTGCCTGTTATTTCCAGAGCAGGGTCAAGGCCAAGCGTAGACAGCTGGAGTCGTGGGAAGGAAGAGGCTGCCTCCAGCATCAGAATTGGGGTGTGGCGGGTGGGCTGGCTAGCCGGAGACAGCTCTTCCAACGGGCCCTGACTTGCACCTTCTGCTGAAACTCAGAGCCAGCGACCTTGATCAAAGTTCTGTGCCTTTGGTTTTTCAAGAACATCCTCCCCCAAGACTGGAAAGGCTCAGCAAGTGGTTTTCGGGCTTTCTTCCTGGAGCCCACCATGATGGTTACGTAGGAGGGGGGTGTGATGGCGTTTAGGGCTGGTAGCGGCTCAGTCTTACAGAACCCACCCCTCCCTCCAACCAAGGAGGCTCAGCTGTGCTTGCCAGAACCTCTGGGACCTATGGCCCTTTTGTCCCACTTACTGTTTCTGCCGTGAGACGACCTCTATCCCCACCTCAGGCACGCCCACCTTTCCACCTGTGGCGACCTAGTGAGCCACATCAGGTGGTGAATTGTCCCTCACCCCATACTGCCGCTCTGGTGGCCGCCCCCAGCCTGAGCTTCTGCACATCCACCCGGTCTATAGCGTCCCTTGGAGGGACTGCCTCACTCAGCGCCCTGAGTGCCAGGTCTGCCCACGTGAGCACGTGCATAGGACTTGGTTTCCCTTTGCTGGTGCTGCATGGGTGCATCCACTCCACGGTGCTTGGACACCTGGCCGGCAGCTGCCTTCGGCCGCTGCCCTGAGCACAGGTGTGTGACCCCCAGGCATTTCAGCGTTCAGCCTGCCCCTGACCAGGTGGCCATAGCCCTGGCCTCTGTGGGTGGCAGCGTGGCTGCAAGGGTGCCCATTAATTGCACGGAACCCCTGAGCTCTTGCCCAGTACCTGGTGTCCCCGGTCTTACTCCAGGGCCAGGGCTCCTCCTGGCGCAGGATGGCCTGGCAGCTCCCCCATGCACTGTCCAGGCCCACGTTCCCTCCGGAAGGTCCCGTCCTCACCAGCCCTGACCCGGCATGTCCTGCAGGTACAAAGATTACCGTGAGCCCCCGTGGTCCGAGCACAAGTACGACATCTCCAAGGACTTCTGGGCCGTGCTGGCCGCCAGGCTGGCCTTCGTCATTGTCTTCCAGGTGCGCTGGCCAGGGGGCTCCCGGGAGGCGGGGAGAGTCGGGCTTGGAGGAAGTGATGGGAGCAGGGTCGGCATGGGGAGGGAGCACGGGCTCACCTGTGCTTCCTGGCGCATCTGCAGTGAACCGCTGCACACGGTTCCATCGGGTTATTCCCTGCGGATCCCTAAGGAAGCATGAGTCAGCTCATGCTTGCCTCGCTGTCTGGGGCCTCTGCCGCCTGTCGCAGGGGTTGTGGATCCAGAAAGGGTCCTGTGGGGTCTAGAGAGAGACACATGCCAGCCAGACCTGAGAGCAGGGGTGGGGGCAAGATGGGAAACTGTTTGCTGGAGATCCCTTGGGGAGCAGGAATTGGCTGCCCTTGTTGGCTGGGTCTTTCCATACTGGTGAAGATGCAGCTGCCTGGAGCGGGCCCGAGGGTGGGCCCAGAGAGCAGTGAGCTCTGGGAGCCCAGGAAGGGTGGGCCAACCCCTGGCCCCGTTCAAGCCTCGGGAAGCAGAGAGGGAACACCTAGGCACCTGGAAGGGCTTGGCGGGAAGCGCCTCCTCTGTCCAGAGGGTTTCGGTGCCTGGATTGTGGGATGGAGACCACCAGGCTTTGCTGCTGAAGCACCTTGTGGTGGCTGGACCAGCTCACCATTCGCATCCCCGTCTGGCGGCCCAGACCACCCCTAGGGGCCTTGGAAGAAAGGCCCGGTGATCCGCGTCAGAAAGGTCACAGCCTGGAGAGCCCACACAGGCACAGTCCCACCTGGGCCACCGAAACTGGCTTGATTTCTTTCAAGAAGTTTCCAGAGGGGCTGTGGCGGGGGTGGGGGGCTGTCGGGGAAGCCCCAGCTGCTCAGGAAAGGGCTGGAGGTTCCCGTCCACTCGCAGGGGGCTCTGAAGAAAGGCCTGGTCCTCTCCTTCTACAAATACAGCCCCCAGGACCTCGTTGCTACTCTGGCTCACACAGGGCCGTCGGCACCCCTGGAGGGCATCCAGAGAAGGGAAGGGCCTGCAGCTGCCCGTGGGAGGTGGGGGGTGCGCCGTCCCCTCCCCGCCCCACGAGCCCGCTGGTCCTTGCAGAACCTGGTGATGTTCATGAGCGACTTCGTGGACTGGATCATCCCCGACATCCCCAAGGACATCAGCCAGCAGATCCATAAGGAGAAGGTGCTCATGGTGGAGCTGTTCATGCGGGAGGAGCAGGGCAAGCAGCAGCTGCTAGACACCTGGATGGACAAGGGCCGCCCGCAGGACGACACCTGCAACAACCATGCCACCAGAGCCGGCCAGGACAGCCCGACCGTCTCCACCGGCGCCCTGTAGTGGCCGGCCGGCGGGGCCCCTTCTCGGGGTGGACAGCCTGGTCTTCCCCATGAGCATCCTCTACCGGCCGGTCAGCCTGGCCCCTTCTCGGGGTGGACAGCCCGGCCTTCCCCATGGGAGCCCTGTAGTGGCCGGCTGGCCAGGCCCCTACTGCAGAGTGGACGGGCCTGCCCTCCCCAGGGATGACCTGTAGTGCCAGCCCGGCTCTTCCTTCTCAAGGGCTCCCTGACAGACGCTGGCCTCTTTCCGTGAGAAGGGCCTTGTTCTCCATTCTTCCGGGTTGTTTTTCTGTTTTGTTTTGTTTTCTAACTCTTTCCTGGTTTTTTTGCACAAAACCATTGCGCAGGGAATTCCCTTTATCATGTGTCTCCACGGTGGAGGGAAAGAATTGCTGGTGTCCAGCTGAGTCCACGTGGGGACTCAGGCACTTGGCAAAGACAATTCTTAGAAACCGGTTTCGGCATGGGGGGAGAGGGGCTCCTTTGCATTGAAATGGCCATATTGCTCGGTTTGGGTCTAGGGACCCTCGGGGGCCCGGGATAGAAGCAGGGGAGTTCAAAAGCAGGTGCCAGGGAGCTTTCTGGGGAGCGAGGAGCAAAGGAAGCTGGAATCTGTCTGCTCCCCGAGGCCTCCTGCCTCCAGGTCAGAAGAGTCCAGGCTTCTCCTCTGGGAGTTCAGATGCTGAGAAAACCGAGTCCAGGCGGGGGCAGGGGGTCCAGATCCCTCACCCTGTCCCTGCAAGGGCTCGGAGGGGGTTCTTTCACTCTTGGTGGGGCAGGTGTACAGCAAGAGAAGCACTGGGGCCCATGATTAGGGGGGGGGTGTCACCTGTCCCCTTAGAGCCCCACCTCCCCAACCCCAGCACTAAGCAAACCTTCATGGGCATCCTGAGGTTAACCTAAGTCGACTGACAAAACAAAAAATCCAGAGACGGGACCACCCCGAGGAATTTCAAAAAATGACTTAACGATTCCCAGGTGTCTGAAGGCTCTTGGGAAGGGGTGATCCCAGCCTTGAGATATTGATTGATTGATTTTTTTTTTTTTTAAGAGAAAAACTCAATCGTACACCAGATTTGAGGGTTTGGGGTTTGGGTAGGTTTTTTTGGTGGGGGGCGGTTATTGTTCTGTTTCTGTAGCTTAAAATTTGTATTCCTTATTTATCAGTTAGCCCACTACCCTTATGAGGGACGTCAAGAACCGTTACTACCAAAGATTTTTCGTAACAAAGCCTTCTATTTTGATAACACTTCTCTATATTTGTACTCACAGGACACCACTGGGGGCGATTCCTATTGTAAAAGCTGGCAAGCAGCCCTCACCTCAGAGGTGAGGGGTGTAGCTCTGCAGGGCTGGGGGGGCCCAGGGCCTGCGCGGCCTCCGGTCACACCAGGACCCACGAAGGGGCAGCCTCCGCGTTGGTGCCAGGACTCTGTCCTCTGGGGTCCAGGGCCCCACGCTGGGCTCCAGCATGCCATCTGACACTGGTCTTTCCTCTTGCATAGTCAGTGGTTTGAGATGGGGGTTTTGTATATAAATAATAAATATTGTATTAAGAATTGGGTGACGTTCTTTTTGTGGGAACCTCTGATTTTTCAAGTGAGGGGGCACTGCAGCCGAGCACGCCCGTGAATTTGCCTGAGCCCACCTGTCCGTGCTCAGAGGGGCGCTGCCTGCAGGGACGCCCTGTGTCTACTGTGGGCAAGCGACTCTGGGGTGGGCCAGACCCTGGGGCTTGTTCCTGATGCTCCTGGTACCACCCACTGCCCTGTGGGGGGAGGTGTGTGTGTGTGTGTGTTTAGGTATTTGTGTGTGGATGTTTGTGTGCTCATGTGTGTATATGTATGTGTGCATGTGTGTAGTGTGTGTGTATATGTCAGTGTATGTGTATATGTGTGCATGTCTGTGTGTTTGTGTATGTCTATGTATACGTATCTGTGTGTGTGTCTGTGTGTGTATGTCTGTATACATGTGTATATGTCTGTACGTGTGTGTCTGTGTGTATATGTGTGTATATATGTATCTGTGTGTCTGTGTGTATATATGTGTGTGTCTGTATGTGTATGTCTGTGTGTATATGTGTGTATGTGTGTGCCTGTATATATGTGTATATGTGTCTGTGTGTATATGTATCTGTGTGTATGTGTCTGTATGTCTGTGTGTATATATGTGTATGTGTATCTGTATGTTTGTGTGTGTATGTGTGTCTGTATATGTGTGTGTGTCTGTATATGTGTGTATATATGTGTATATGTCTGTGTGTGCATATGATGTGTGTATATATGTGTGTATATGTTTGTGTGTCTGCGTGTGTATATGTATATGTATGTGTGTATATATGTGTATATGTCTGTGTGTGCATGTGATGTGTGCATGTGTGTGCCTATGGTGTGTGTATATCTGTGTATGTATGTGTATATGTCTGTGTGTATATGTGTGTGTATGTGTATGAGTGTATATATGTGTATATGTCTGTGTGTGTATGCATATGATGTGTGTATATATGTGTGTACGTCTGTGTGTCTGTGTGTGTGTGCGTCAGTCGGGGAGGGAGTTGGTGGTCGCACACTCTGCACAGCCTCCTCTTCTGGACACATCCAGTCTTCACCCCTGACCCCACAACCCACAGATCAGTGCTGGGCTCACAGACCTCCAATTCTCCAGAACCTTCTGGGGACCAAACTAGGATTGCTGGTGTCACTATGTGGGCACACAGCATCTTTTAAACAGCTGCCTGGAACCACCGTCACGTCGCAAAGGCAGGGCTCTTTCTCAGAAAGCATCCCTTCACCCAGTGGGTGTGGCCACTGGCACATGGCTCAGGTTAGCAGCAGGTCGAGGGCGCCCCTGACGTCGGCGCCCCTCTCCCAGGAAAGCACCCTCCACCCAGCTCACGCCCCTGACGTCGGCGCCCCTCTCCCAGGAAAGCACCCTCCACCCAGCTCAATCCCGGAGCTGCTCCAAGTCTCTTTCTCTCTCTCTCTCTCTCTCTCTCTCACACACACACACACACACACACACACACTCCCAGAGCCACCACCTTATCCTAGGTTTCTCCATGGAGCAGGGTGGCCTGCGACCAGCCAGGGACCTCCTCCACCCTCCCTGCTGTCCGCTGTCCTGCCAGCAGCTGGTGAGGCCAGGTGCGTATGGCCAGCCCTCTGATAGACGAGGAAGCAGACTTGGGGTGGTGTCGAGACGTGCAGACACCATAGCCACCCTCCACCCCCCGCAGCTGCAGGAAGTGCTCACTGGGTGCCTGGCTTGGACCAAGCTTTGGAGGGGGGTGGTGAGCACCGAAGACATGGGCCCCTTCGCTCAGGGGGTGACATCCCTGTACCCACACACAGGATCCTCTAAGTGACTAGGGGGTGCAGGGACTGTACACCAGGAGAGTGACCAGAAGAGACTTGGTGGCCAGGGAAGCGCCCTGGATCTGAGCTACAAGGACCCCGGCCCACAAAGCCCTGGAGGCGGAGGGACCTCACCTGGTCTGTAGGCTTGCCCTCTGAGCATTTGCAGTGGTCTCCATGGTAGCCTATGGGTAAGGCTTTGGTTCACTGGCCTGTGGAAGCAGCCTTTCTTCCTCACCTGGACATCTCCGTCTGGATGCTCCCCTGAGACCAGAGTCCTTGCCACACACAGCCTCCACTTACCGCAAGGGGGCGGGGGCGAAGGAACCCCGGTCTCCACACCTGCCCCATCCTTTGAGGATGCAAGACGACCGGCCTGTTGCCATGGTAGCAGTTAGGAGGCACATGGCGGCGTGAGGGTGGAGGGGTGTTGGCTGACATCTTTACAGGGGTGGATCACCGGGCCTTTCTTCCACAGCACCCACAGTGGGTCCAACAGCAGACCTTTAGGCCTGAGGGGCAAGGGCCAGGCAGGCCCAGGTGGATCTGACAGCATCCCCAGGGGACTGGTTTGCACTTCGGCCATCCAAGGACATTGCCACAGGGAGGGACGGGAGGGGGCAGGGGTGAGTGAGCTTGGGTAGGGGAGGCAGTGGCCGGAGGAGGGGAGCCAGAATGGCACACCCATGAGCCCTGGGGTCTATGAGGAAAGGACTCCGGGGACTAACCCGGTGCTGCTGTAACACAAGGCAGCCACAGTGAGGCTCAGAGAGGGCTGGACAATGCCAAGGACACACAGCACACAGCACACAGCCATCCTTCAGACAGACACGGTGGTATGCAACACCGACAGTTCCTCCTGCCTTGCTGGTCGCTGCATCGCTGCAGGTGGGCACTGCAGGGAGTAGGCAAGTGACGACAGGTGAGCACTGCAGGTGGAGACAGGTGGGCACCCCCACGAGACCACACGGCTGATCTCTGGAGTGACACCCAAAATGTCCTGCAGGGGCTCAGCTGCAATCCCAAGACAACCCTCACAGACTGCACCTGTGAGCCTGAGCTCTTTGGAAATGGGGTCTTTGCAGGGTTTTCAGCTGCGTTCTTATGTGGTCAGAGGGGGTCCTAGCCCACTGCGTGGTGGAGAGACACTGTGCGCGGCACAGGGCACCAGCCTCATGAAGATAAGTATTTCGTGGCACCGTTACACTAAAGGGAATGAAGTCTTGGTTTTCACACCAAAGGAGAAGATTTTGCAGACTATGCCAGGCTGGAGATGGGGACGGGGGAGGGAGGGAAGAGACAGGGGTGCAACACCCCTCAGCCCCCTCCTTCCCTGTGCGCCCGTTCTCATTCTTCCCCACTCCCGGGCCTTCCTGAACTAAAGGAAATGCTGCCCTTGGGATCCCAGATGCTTGATCCTTCTGAGCGATGTGCGTGTGTCTCCCTGGAGTTACTGTGCCACTTACAGACCTGTCTGTCCTTTGGCTGAAAACTGAGCCCCAGGGTGAGTTCATTTTCCAGACCTGAAGGGGGACTGAAGCCATAGTCCTGGGGAGCCCCTCCCCAACTAGTAAACCTGGTCTTTTTTATTTATTTTTTTACTGATCCTGAGTTTTGTTCCCATTGGTCTCCCACTCTATCCAGAGCCTTCGCAGTGGCAGCCGGGCACCGTCTAGCTCTTCGGGTCTCTGGGTGGTGGAGACAGGTCTCGGGGTGGTGGGGACTGTGGCTCACTTGGTCCATTGGACAGACTGTTTCCCTGTGTCCTCCATGCTCACCCCTCTCCCTTCTCCCAGGAGGAGACCCCCAGGTGCACCGCTGCTCAAAAGCTTTTTTTTAATTTTTTTAATTTTTTGCTAACAGCTTTTAAGACCCAGTCCCCACTCACCAAAGTAGGATTTCTGTACCTTTTGTTACGTAGCACTAGTCACCACCCCGCCCCGCGCCACACACACACACACACACACTGTGACTGTGTTCTCCCCACTTCTTCTCGGGGCCCCATGTGTGACAGAGTCAAACTGCCCCGTCAGGTCTTCTTGGCTGTGATCCTGACAGAAGCAGGCGGCAGGCCTTTCTGCAGCGCATCCGTTCCCACGAAGAAGACCCCCTGGGTCACCAGGGTGCGGAAAGAGAATGTGACCACGCTTAGGAAGCTCCCTTCCTGCTCCCTCTCCAGACACCCTCACCCCGACCCCTTCACCCAGCTGGGACCCCCATCCTGGTTCAGGCGCGTGGCTCCCTCCCCACCCCCAGGCGGGATAAGGTCCATTTGCAAACATTGGCGTGGTTACCAGCCGGGCTGCCATCTGCAAGATCAGCAGTTCGAAATCACCAGGTGCTCAGTGGGAGAAAGGCGGGCCTTTCCCTCCCCTCAAGGGTTACACAGTCTTGGGAACTCCGAGGGCCAGTCCTCCCATCCCACTGGGTGGCTCCCAGTCAGAATCCACTTCAAGGCAGTGGCTTGGGTTGGCGTTCGGTGATTGTTGGTGGCTACTTCCCTCTGCTGGCCACATGCAGGAACCACACCCAGGAAAGGGAAGGCTCCAGGTGGCCAGGGTCCAGGCATGGCCACAGGCAGTGATCACCCGGCTGCTACCTGGATCAGGAGGAGCTGCTGGGGGTTGCTGGAGCGAGCTCACCAGCTGGTGTCCACCCCAGTGTGTCCGCCGTGGGTCTCACCTGCCATCTGGTCTGGAGAAGGCTGCCAAGTCCCAGGACATCCAGAAGGGGGTGAAGCAGGAGGCAGATGGTCCCCTAAGGGCATCCTGGGCTACACTGAGGACCAGGTGATTCTACAGTGACACCCACTCTCCCGCCTTTGATGCTGGCCCTCAAGGATCATTTTGTAAAGCTCAGTCTCTGGGATGACTATGGACGTGGCTGCAGCAACAGAGTGGTGGACCTCCTGGTCCTCATGGCCGCCAAGTATGAGCCCCCCTGGACCACCAGGCCCAGAAGGAGCACTGGAGGAAAAGTGAGGCCCTCAGGTGCCGGGGGAGCTTTGCCCGAACTCGATCCCCCAACACACTGCCAATCGTCTTGAGTTTCCATGCGGACCCCCTGAAGAAAGGGTGGGGCTTAGAGAGCCCAACCTTGTCACGTACCTTCAATAAAGAACACTGCACACACACACCCAAAAAAAAGACCACACTTGGTGAGTTAGTTAATTGTGCCAACCTGGCCGATAATCACATGTGAGGCTA